TAATATATTTGTTGTTGTTAGTTGCGAAATCGTGTCCGACCCATCGTGACCCCATGGATAATGTTCCTCCAGGCCTTCCTATCCTCTACCATCTTCTGGAGTCCATTTAAGTTCACGCCTACTGCTTCAGTGACTCCATCCAGCCACCTCATTCTCTGTCATCCCCTTCTTCTATTGCTCTCAATCTTTCCCAGCATTAGGCTCTTCTCCAGTGAGTCCTTCCTTCTCATTAGGTGGCCAAAGTACTTGAGTTTCAACTTCAGGATCTGACCTTCTAAAGAGCAGTCAGGGTTGATCTCTTCTAGGACTGACCGGTTTGATTGCATTGCAGTCCAGGGGACTCGCAGGAGTCTTCTCCAGCACCATAGTTCAAAGGCCTCAATTCTTTTGCGCTCAGCCTTTCTTATGGTCCAACTTTCACAGCCATACATGGCAACTGGGAAAACAATGGCCTTGACTATACGTACTTTTGTTGGCAGGGTGATATCTCTGCTTTTTAGTATGCTGTCTAGATTTGCCATAGCTTTCCTCCCCAGGAGCAAGCGTCTTTTAATTCCTTGGCTGCCAGGAATTGAAAGGGCCGGATGCCATGATCTTGATTTTCTTAATGCTGAGTTTCAAGCCAACTTTTGTACTCTCTTTCTTCACCTGCATCAAGAGGCTCTTTAGTTCCTCTTCACTTTCTGCCATTAGAGTAGTATCATCTGCATATCTTAGGTTGTTGATATTTCTCCCGGCAATCTTAATTCCAACTTTTGATTCATCTAGCCCTGCTTTTCTCATGATGTGCTCTGCATATAAGTTAAATAGGCAGGGCGATAGAATACAGCCTTGCCGGACTCCTTTCCCAATTTTGAACCAATCAGTGGTTCTGTATCCAGTTCTCACTGTTGCTTTTTGACTCGCATATAGGTTTCTCAAGAGACAAATAAGATGATCTGGTACTCCCATCTCTCTAAAATAAAAGCAAGGAAACACAACATTATAGAATGCTTTTGTAAATGCTGACTAGCATTTCTACAGTTTCAAGGAAAATGCAAACAAACTTTATCTTTGTAATGTACTGTACTTACAAACACAATAGTATGCAAAGTACAGTACAGTACTTAAAAAGCAGAGCAGTTCCCAAAGTGCTTACAAACCAACAGTACAGTACTATAGAGTAACAAAAAAGAATATTTTAAAATACTTACAGAAGCAATTCTAGCTTTCCAGTCCTCAAGCCCAGGCAGCACCAAAAAAATAAAAACAAATGGTCGGAGCCAGCTGCAAAAATCATTGGATCTTGTTTGGTCATGTGACCAGGGACAAAAAACAACAAACTCTTCCAGCTTCAGGAAATTGCATTTATAACCTGAACAGCACAGGCAAGTCACAGAGTTAAAATGACCACCGCTTGTAGAACTGACTGGATTCAAGTCACTGGCTAAAGAGACCTCTTTGTGGTTGCAATTTTGAATTTCTAATATAAGTACCCTATCTGAATAAATTGTTTTTTTTGTGTGAAAACTCGTTAAATAGATGGGGAACTCATCAAATTTGGGGGATGGATGGGGAACTCATCAAATTTGCAGACGACGCCAAACTGGCAGGAATAGCCAACACTCCAGAAGACAGGCTTAAGATACAGGAGGACATGGACAGACTTGAACACTGGGCACTATCTAACAAAATGAAATTCAGTGGTGAAAAAAGTAAAGTTCTACATTTAGGCAAGAAAAACCAAATGTACAGGTATAGTATAGGGTGTACCTTGCTCAATAGTAGTAACTGTGAGAGGGATCTCGGAGTCCTAGTGGACAATCACTTAAATATGAGCCAGCAGTGTGCTGCAGCTGCCAAAAAAACCAACACAGTGCTAGGCTGCATTAACAGAGGGATAGAATCAAGATCACATGAAGTATTAATACCACTTTATAATGCCTTGGTAAGGCCACATTTAGAATACTCCATCCAGTTTTGGTCACCACAATGTAAAAAAGATGTTGAGACTCTAGAAAGTACAGAGAAGAGCAACAAAGATGATTAGGGGACTAGAGGCTAAAATATATAAGGAACGGTTGCTGGAATTGGGTATGTCTAGTTTAATGAAGAGAAGGACGAGGGGGGACATAATAGCAGTGTTCCAATATCTTAGGGGCTGCCACAAAGAAGGGGGAGTCAAGCTATTTTCCAAAGCGCCCTAAGGCAGGACAAGAAGCAATGGATGGAAACTAATGAAGGAGAGAAGCAACCTAGAACTAAGAAGAAACTTCCTGACAGTTAGAACAATTAACCAGTGGAACAACCTCCCTCCAGAAGCGGTGAATGCTCCAACACTGGAAGTTTTTAAGAAGAGACTGGACAGCCATTTGTCCAAAATGGTATATGGTTTTCTGCCTGAGCAGGGGGTTGGACTAGATGACCTCCAAGGTCCCTTCCAACTTTATTATTACTATTATTATTATTGTTGTTGTTGTTGTTGTTGTTGTTATTATTATTATTATTATTATTATTATTACGTTCGTTCCTGGAGATTACTTGTATTTTCTTTTTGTGTGAAGACAGATGCAAAGAATGAGTTAAGCAGCTCTACTTTCTCTCTACTGCCAATTACTTCCTTATCATCATCTTTCATTAGTGGACAGATTGTTTCCTTGACTTTTTTTATTGCTTTTTATATGTTGGAAAAAACTTTATTTTTGACATTGTTACAAGTTTGACTTCATTCTGAGCTTTAGCTTTTCTGACTTCATCTTTGCACATTAGGGCTATTTGTTGGTATACTGCCTTACTTTTATGCCCCCTTTCCATTTTTTATATTTATACTTTTTTTCTTTCAGTTTGTCAGAGTTCTTTGTGTAACCATGCTGGTTTCTTTTTTTTTTTTCAGTAGTATTGAGCTGGATTGGGCTTTTATAATGATATTTTTCAAGTTTCCCAAACTTCTTGAGTTGTTTTTCCTTTTAAAATTTTCATCCATAGAATCTTTCCCAAGCTTTCTCAGAATTTGTTAAAAAAATTTAAAGTTTGTTTAAAATTTGTTAAAACTATTTTACAGTTTAAGACATTGGTTTTATTATGTTCTATTGCTTGTGTTGCATTATATTGAATTCCAATATGACATGGTCAGTTTCACCCAAAGTTCCGGCAACTTCAACCCCCTCTATCACTTGTTCTCTGTTAGAATTAGGTACAGTATAGCTTTTCCCCTTGTTTCCTCCTCTACCTTTTAGATGACAAACTCGTCAGCTAGGATGGTCAGGAATCTGTTCAATCTCCCACTTGATGCAGAGTTTATCTCCCAATCAGGTAGTTAAAATCCCCCCATTACTACTGTGGTGTGTTTCCTTACATTTTTTTAATTGGTTAGCAAAAAGTTCATTTATTCATTTATTTCTTCTGATTGGTTGGTGGTCTGTAGTTTAAGTCTTTTTTTCTTTTATATTGGCCTATAGGCATTCTAGGTGGTTTTCATTCTTGGTTTTGTGAGTTTTGGTAGAGATGTAATGATCTCTTACATATAATGAACTCCACCTCCTTTTTATTAGGTTTGTTTCTTTTGAATAATTTGTATCCTTCCATCAGTACATTCCAATCATGAGTTTCATCCCATTAAGTTTCAGTAATGGCAATTATATCATACCTGCCTTCATGTACTAGTACTTCAAGTTTATTGTTTGTACTCTAAACTTTGAGTGTTTGTGTATAGGCATTTGAGTCCTTCATTGCTGAACCTGGGTATGCTTCCTTTATCTTATATTTTATATCTCAGTTTTTCTTCCTTTCCATCATTTTCTATCTCATTGTTTGATTGGTTGTCTTGGAGTGGTCACCCTTCTCCCTTATTTTTAGTTTAAAGCCCTTCTGATAAGTTGAGTCAGTCATTTTCCAAATATAGGTGTCCATTTTTTGCCAAAAACCCTTCAGTAGGTAGTGCAGACTATAGTCTAGGAATCCAAAGTTCTCTTGGTGGCACCAACCCTTAAACCAGTGGTTCATTTCTATAATCCTTTGTTCTCTCATTGAATGTTAATCTTCCCATGAGAACACCACTTGTAATCCCAACTCCTTTCTTGCCTAAATAACTTAACTGATAATTGAGTAAGAGTCAGGTTTTTTTTTTATCAGATATATTCTGCTCTAAATATCCAAAAGGAGAACACAAAAAGTATTTTTAAAAAATGGAATGGTGAATTAGGTTTTCTGTTTATTTCAGATGGAAGGGAGGTGGTATCTATTATAGTTGTAACGTAAACAAAATTAATGGAAACCTTGCTTAATAGAGTAATTCTAAGTATTGTATTTTTGCTTTTAGTGTTATTTTCTATTTTTTTCACTGAATAGCAAAACACATCTTAAATGAAGAAAAAAATCCATTTTGTTGAATCGGCAAGTATCAGGATCTAACATTCTTTGCATTCCATAAGACTATGAAACTGAAGATGATATATTATGTTGTCATGTTTCCTATCTATGGTATTGAGTTTTCTAAAACCAAAGATACTTGGAAGGTTCCCTGCTTGAAATTTAAATATAATTGCATCTTCAGAAATATATAATTGCCAGGGGAATGCAACAATTTTTTAGAATAGAATAGAGTAACTGAGATGGAAGAGACCTTAACAGTCTTCTAGTCCAACCCCCTGCTCAAGCAGGAGACCTTATACCATTTTGGACAAATGGTTGTTCAATCTCTTTTTAAAACTTCCAATGGTGGAGCACCCACAATTTACAGAGGGCAAGCCATTGCACTAATTCAGTGTTTCTCAACCTTGACAATTTTAAGGCATGTGGACTTCAACTCCCAGAATTCCACAGCCAGCATTGCTGGCTGTGGAATTCTGGGAGTTGAAGTCCACATGCCTTAAAATTGTCAAGGTTGAGAAACACTGCACTAATTAATCACTTTTAGGAAATTTCTCCTTATTCTCTTCTGCCATATATTATTCATCATATAAATGTAATCACGTAATATATTTTTCATAGACTTTTTCTGAAAAATCCTTTTATTTGGATTACAGAGATGAAAGTACAGGAAAGTTTACTAAACATAGCAAAAGGATTATGTCGAGAGTCTAGTAACAATGTTTGGCTCCATATGCCAGACTTCTGTTGCATTGAAGACAATGAGTTCCTTCATGAGGATTGAATGATCCTGGACTGCAAACCACTATAACAAAAGAAAGCAAAACAAAACAAACAAAAATAATCATGTCATCAAATGTATTACAATTTGCTGTAATAAAATGAAGATTCCAAATTTAAAGCCAGTTAATTGCTTCAAGATTTATTTGCTAAATTTGGGATTCATACTTACAAAAATGTTTTAAGAAAAAATAAAGAAATAGGAAGCAGAAGTAAATGTAAAATGTGTAAGACAGTGATCATAGATGCACGAAACTTTGAGAAGACTCCATCAGTTATCTGTAACACATTGTATACAGCTAACAACTCTGCCCCATCCCATCATATTCTGAGATGTATCTTCAACTATATTGTGAATAATTACAGGTACAGAACATCTGGTACTGGATTTCTTGGGGCTCTGTATTGTATGAAAACTCATAAATATTTTACAACTATTGTGTTTCCCAAAAATAACACCCAGTCTTATATATATATATATATTTGTCTCCAAAAGAAGTATTAGGTCAGGAGATGTCTTATTTTTTCCACTGTCTTGCCTCACAGTGGCAGCACCAACAGCCCTGTCCAGCAGGAGCCCATGTGGCTGCCACTGGCCAACTTCTTCTGTGGCTGCTCAATGCCGCTTGCACACATCACCCCCGGCCTCAGTTTTGCCATTAGAGGCCTTTAGGAAGGGCCTCTGCAGCCGAGAATGGAGGCCTGGGTTTCCTGAAGGCCTCTGCTGGTGAAACGGAGCCCGGGGAGTGATGTGCACGAGTGGCCACAGAAGTGGGCCGGCGGTGGCCATGCGGGCTCCTGCTGGATGGGGCTGTTGGTGCCGCCGTGAGGCAAGTGTCGGGTGTGGGAGGGCTGGCTGCAGGGCCTCCAAGGTAAGTGGATGCGGAGCGCATGGGGCAGCTCCACCCCCTCTCCCACTTGCCTCGCCTCACCTCGTGGTGGCAGCACAGTGAACAACCAGACTGGGTGGGCAGCTGTGCAGGCTCTTAACTAGGGCTTACTTTGGGGATAGGGCTTATATTAAGCACAGGTGTAAAAATCAAGCCAGAGTTTATTTTTGGGGAAACACAGAAGTACCAAAATAAAATATAAATCTTGTAATGTTATGTATCTACTATTTATCATTATGGTTGGCTTAGTTTGTTATGTAGGTGTGCTTTCAACTATTCTTATGAACAAAATTATTGAAACTTGGTTCTTGAGTGATCTCTTCAGCAATTTAATGTCAAAGAACTTTAGAAAATATAGTAAGACAGGGTCAAGGTCTGCACTGTTCATTTGCTTCTAAAAGTAGGATCTTCTTGAGTCCAAATAGCCCTCAATTTACAATCATTCATTTAGTGACCATTTGAAGTTACAACAGCATTGGAAAGTGACTTACAACTGATCCTCACACTTATGACCATCATAGCAACCCCAGAGCCACATGATCAAAATTAGGCTTTGGCATTACTATGGTTGTAGAATCCTGGGTCACGAGATTGCCATTTGCAACCTTCCCAGCCTGGAATGAGACAATTAGCCATAGCCACATTGCCTCAGCCACTTCACTGCAGCCCCCCCCCCCAGCTTCACCCAACACATTGCCATGGTTATTTGGCTCCCAATACACCACCACAGGCTCCACACCCTGGGCATCCCTTCACCACTGGCCTTCTTCTGCCCCTCATCCCATCCCCCACTGCCTTGCATTGGGTGATTCACTGTAGAACAAATCTCCCTGGCCATTCTTCCATGCGGGACACTTAGCCATGGGATAACTCACCAAGCACTGGTGTGGGGAGACCAGGAGGCTGCTTCCTCTCCCCCCATGGGCCATTGGTCACTGGCAGAAGGGTGCATCAGCTGGCCCCCTTGCCCAGATTCGGCCCTGTATTCTATTTGTAGATTCCTTTAGTCATATCCTCAAAGGGTAAGAAGGACAAAAATAAAAGAATGAAAATAAAATGTCTATCTCCAACCAATTAATTCAGAATTTAGCTTACTTCTCACCCAGGATAGTATGTTACTCAAGTCCAAAGCCTTTATCTACCTTTGGGCAGGAATGTTGTTCATCATCATCATCATAATCCCCTGCTTTCAAAGTTTTCATAGATTCTAAAATACTCAGCTTTGACTTAATCTCACAATCACCTCCCACAACATTTTCCCCCTGCAGAGGGGCCACCACCTGAAAGAGGAACTAGGGGGATAGGGGGAAGGCAGCGCCTTCCCATCCAGCTAATGCAGCAGCTGAAAAGCTGCAGCCGACACACTCTTGTTGTCTCCTCTTCCTCTTCCTGTTCCTTGCTGACTACAGCCTCTGCCTTGCTGCTGCCTTGCAGTGGTGGGGGAGCCAGGTACAAGAAAGCCAGGAGCAAGCAAGGACCAGTGGAAGGAATTTAAGCCCTTTTCCAAAATTAAGTTTAAAAAAAGGAGAAAAAGAGTCATGCATCTGTAAGATGAGTGGCTATATAAATCTGAGAAATACATCATATAAATTTAGCAACAGGTTGGAGCAGCAGAGAGAGAAAATGAATTGTCCATAATATCTACAATAACTATATTAGTGGTTCAGTGGTAGAATTCTAGCCTGCCATGCCGCAGGCCTGGGTTCGATTTCTGATCAATGCAACGCATCTTTTGTGATCCCAGGGTTTCATTTTGCTAAAAAATATATATTTAGCCAAAGATTAAATGGCTGCATGTTTTCTAGAAAAAAGTTATATTTAGCTAAAAAAAACCAGATTTTACTTACCTAGCTGCCTTTTCTCCCTAGAGTTGGACCCACAGAGACCATTTAATTAAAAGAAATATGTACAATAAACAGTAAAAAAAATGTTCATTGTACAAGTGAATAAATTAAAGTAGCCAGAAAGGAAAGAACTAAAGGAAGACAGCAAAAGCAGCAGCAGCACTCGTGTTGGCTGGGAAATGAACCCAGGCTCCCAAGTGGCAGGTGAAAATTCTACCACTGAACCACCAAGTTGGCTGTTGGGAAGAACTGGATGGCTGCTTTGATGGAATAAAAAAGGCATTGTTGGCCAAGCTAGAAAGCTGAAGTGTAATAATGATTTAAAATATTCTCTTCATGCATTTGCTCTGTATGAGAGTTTCTACCTGCTCTCTCCACATGCTTTAAATGCTTGCAGCTCTGACGGATAGCTTTATTTACATAAATTCAAGAACCCCGTGCCTCTGAGCAAGTGTGGAAGATGCCTTGTCCATCTGCTTGGCACATCAGAATCCCTCATCTGATGTGTTATGCAGTCCTGCATCACTGCCTTTGGGATTCAAAGCTGCCTCACCTAGCGCTCATGCATCTCACACACACATGCAATCTCCCCCCCTCCTTAGCCCAACTTTTGTCCACCAAACTGGACAGTGGAACAAGGGGGGGAGTTAACATGGGACATGCGAATGCTCATGTGAGCTTCCAGCGAGGTGTGAACCAGTCCCACTGGGAGACCATCAAAGGACAGGTGACTTTTGACACTGGGGCGTGTAAAAGATTTTCAGAGGCTCTCCCAGGGGATGGAGGGGAGCAGATCCCAGCACATTTGCTGGAGGGGAGGGAGGGAGTGAAGGGGGAGAATCAGGTGGCATATGAAGAAGCACACAGTCCTGCTCTCCCCTCCACTGCTGTTCCCCTGGCAGGCTCTGAGGCGCTGCACACGTGGGGAACTCTGCCAGAGAGGAACACACTCCTTCCTTCCTTCCTTCCCTCCCTCCCTCTCTTCACAGGCAGAGTGGCCTCCTGCTGCTGAGGGGAGCAGCCCACCACCCAGCCACGAGCACTGTCCCTATGCAGGTATTTGGTGAATTATCTTGTGTAGCTAATTGTCCCATGCAGGATAGCAGCCAGGGAAATTTGCCCCACAGTGAATCACCTGATGCGAGGCCGTGGGGATAAGGGATGGAGAAGAGAAGCGCTGGAGGGATGCCTGGGGCATGGAGCTCATGGCAGTGCCAAAAGCCCTTTATTAAAAGAAATTCAAAATGGCAAATGTAAAGAGGAATAAAAAAAGTTTTTTAAAAATACCAAACCAAGATAAGGATAGAAAGAACAATTGTGGATCATTTTTAATCACAATATACTAATTTGCACTTCTGTTTATCTGGATATACTTCAACTGTCTTTTCTACTTAAAAAAGGTTTGTTCAGATACAGCCCTTTCAGCTTATTCATGGTTTATTAAATTGAAAATGAGTTTCAGTTTTTTGTCAACTGATTCTCTGTTCTCTTTCTCTCATGTACCAGTGAAATTATGAAAATGGAAATTATTAGCTAACAATTTCCATTTTATGTCCATACCAGAAAACTATGGGTTGATCTTGGAAGTAAAGAAAGTGTAAACAGAGTATTCATACTCAAATTCATGACTCTTGGTTTCTTATATCAACATTGTTGAATGTGAATTAGTCCTAACCAGTTATTATAAATATTTGTAGGATTCTATATCAAAATTTAGAACTGCAACAAACAAATTAATTGCATCATGTTATTTTAATTTCCCAGGCAAAAACAACGTATAAACAATATCTGAGAGGAAAACTGTTACTTTTGAGATCTATGCTAAAAGCAAGTATTTTTTTATGTAATGAATAACTGCAACTCAATAGCCTTACAATACCATAACATTCCTTGACACTAATTCAACCTGGCAAGTATAAACATCACAAAATAGTCTACCTCTATTTACGGGCAAAAACATAGCTAACATTAATTTAGGAAGGTTTAAATCTGAGATTTAAGTTAGTTTTAACAAGATTTAGCCATAAAGCAACTGTTCAACTGCACACTTACATAATACATATGGTCACAATTTGTACATTTTATTTGTATAGAGCACATAACTGTCCCCAGTTATTTACCAGTGGTCTTCTAATACTCATCTATAAATACACACAAGGGGATTCTGTTTCCAGTTCATATTTGAAATGTTACAGAGCTTGAGAGTTTTTTTGGTAGAAACCCTGCCAATGCCACAATATGTCATATAAAAGGGAAGGCCTCCTCTCAATACTCAACCCAATAACTATCACAGTAGATAGAATCCAAAATTCTAACTTTCAATCCAAATCAGAGGAGAGACTTGTTTTCAGAATTCAGATGATCACTTGAAGAAATATAGTTGAAGACCCAGCTCTTTCTCATTTTAGTCTCTAAGATTCCCACAGATGAATCCACACTCTTACCATGAAGTAGCTAGTCTAGGAGAATATTAAAAACAATATTGCACAAAGACTCCATCCTGCTGACATTACAATCTGAAGTAATGATGTCTTATTAAATTTGAAGGTTGCAGGCCAGCAAACGTACAAAAGCACACTAGTCAAAAATAAGGTTGACAAAAGTACTATTTAGCTCACAAGGACAGGACAAGAATGTTTCACCAGCTCATAGCACTAATGAATAATAACTGTCATCCATCTCTAAAAATCTATTATAAGACAAAAACTTGGCACTTAATACTGCCATAAAGCAATAACACCTTCAGATTCTACCTCAAAGCAATCGTGCATTTTGTTATATGAACATGAAATAGAAAGCACTCAGAAAGTATTAAGGTTCAATGAGACAACCGGAATTAAAAACAGATACTTATATACTGATCTTGAAAGTTCAGTGCAAGTTCGAGGTCATTGTTCTTCTTGGCATGGTAAAAATCTAAAACAAAACGTCAAACATATTTGACCAAAGACTTTTACCTCACACATAAGAGAATGAAAAGAGATGGAGTCAACTCTCATAGGAGGGAGAAAATATAGGAGTGGCAGAACCTGGGGGCAGAGTTAAAAGAGGTATGGATCTAGAATCCCTACCTAACCACAAGTGAACTAAGTCCAACCTTGAATTCCATTGACCCTTATCCCAAACAGGGTCTAATCATTAGATAAGGGTCAATTCAAGAGAGGTGGAACTTAGTTCGCTTGTGGCTACATAGGGAATCTAGGCTGATTTTTCTTTTAACTCCACCCTCAGCATGTGCCATTCCTCCTATAGAAAATGAATTCTAAAAAATAGCCAGAGGTTATTATCAAAAGGACCCAACTTTCTATTGCAATATATCCTACATGAAAGAAACTCTGCCCTTGATTCCACAGAAATAAAGCAAAGACTACTATCTAAATAACTGGAATGGATTAATTATTTTGTTAACAATTAACAAAAAAAGCAATGGTATTAACTGGATTGGTAGTCCATCTTCAAAAGAGTGCAGGCAATTGTTCTTGGTAATAATACTTTGCTCCAGAACAAAATACTTTATTATAATCTATTGTATCTATTGAGCCTATTTCCCTGAAACAACATTTTTTCAGTTCCAGACTAAGAATATATTGTAAAATCTGTGGATTGGAGTCAAGTGTCTAATCTCAAGGCATTAGAGTTTGCCACTAATTAGGAGCACAATATGCAGAGTGGCAAGCAAGATTAATCCATTGCTTTGCAATATTGTGATTTTGGTATGAAAAACTTCAATATTCTATTGCTTGCACTGATGAAGAAGAAAAAGGGTAAGGTTTTCACAAGAAGGATTCACTTGTAATCTAGGTGACCTGATAGTTTTTGATTCAGAGATGAAACACTACGCATATGCAGCTTTCAGCCAATACCACCAAACTTTCTCCCCCTTTTTTAATTGAGTAGTTTTAAAAGTTGGGTACAAGGGAGACACTCCCAAATACAGAGTGATTGTAGAATGTCTACTTATTGAAAGCAGAACTCCATTGCAGACCCAAGAAAGCACAAGGAGTAGTCTTTAAACTTTTCTTTCACAAAAGGCAGCCCTAAGAACTCTTAATTCTAATTCTTTGGAGTAATTATCATCTATTCTAGAAAAGATAAATACAAGCCAATATATTAACCATAATGACAATCACAATACATTTTGATTTAAATTTGATTTTATACTAGGACAGAATCTATCAGTCACAAAGAACAAATGCCAACAAGTTAGTTTATCATAGTAACCAATTCATTTGCAGTTACATTCCATTTTCATGAAATAACAATAATGATGATGTTGGAAGGGACCTTGGAGGTCTTCTAGTCCAACCCTGTTCAGGCAGGAAACCCTATACCATTTTAGACAAATGGTTGTCCAGTCTCTTCTTAAAAACTTCCAGTGTTGGAGCATTCACAACTTCTGGACGAAAGTTGTTCCACTCATTAATTGTTCTAACTGTCAGAAAATTTCTCCTTCGTTCTGGGCTGCTTCTCTCCTTAATTTCCATTCATTGCTTCTTGTCCCGCCTTCAGGTGCTTTGCAGAATAGCTTGACTCCCTCTTCTTTGTGGCAAACCCTGAGATATTGAAACACTGCTATCATGTCACCCCTAGTCCTTCTCTTCATTAAACTAGACATACCCAATTCCAGCAACCGTTCTTTATATGTTTTAGCCTCCAGTCCTTTGATCATCTTTGTTGCTCTTCACTGTATTCTTTCTAGAGTCTCAACATCTCTTTTACATCATGGTGACCAAAACTGGATGCAGTATTCCAAATGTGACCTTAGCAAGACGTTATAAAGTGTTATTAACACTTCACATGATTTTGATTCTATTCTTGCTAATGCAGCCTAGCACTGTGTTGGCTTTTTTGGCAGCTGTAGCACGCTGCTGGCTCATATTTAAGTGACTGTCCACTAGCACTCCAAGATCCTTCTCACAGTTACAAGATACACCTATATTGTACCTATGCATTTGGTTTTTATTGCCTAAATGTAGAACCTTAGTTTTTTCACTATTGAATTTCATTTTGTTCAATAGCGCCCAATGTTCAAGTCTGTAAAAAGATCCTTCTCTATCTTAAGCCTATCTTCTGGAGTGTTGGCTATTCCTTCCAGCTTTGTGCATCTCCAAATTTGATGAGTTCCCCATCTATCCCCTCATCCAAATCATTGATGAAGATGTTGAAGTGCACTGGGTCCAGAATAGAGCCCTGGGGCACCCCACTATACACTTCCCTCCATGTAGATGCAGTTCCATTAAGGACCACACGCTGAGTACAGCGGGTCAGCCAGCCACAAATCCATCTGGTGGTGATGCTGTTTAACCCACATTTTTCTCTTATCAAGTAGTAGTTGTGGTCTACTTTATCAAATGCCTTACTTAAGTCCAAGTAAATTATATTCACAGCATTCCTCTGGGCCACTAATTTTGTCACCTAGTCAAAGAATGTAATAAGATTTGTCTGGCATGATCTGTTTTTGACAAACCCATGTTGGCTTTTGGTTATGACTTTGTTTACTTCTAGGTGTTCTCTGATTTGTTGCTTATCTTTTCCAGAATCTTCCCAGGTATTGAGGTCAGGCTGATAGCTCTGTAATTTCACCATGAACTATGCAACCAAACCATAAGAACTAATACCCAAATTTGTCACAAGCAATAAATTTACTATCTCTGTTGTAATAAAAAGTTAATTAGATAATTCCTCTAAAAATATCTAGTAATCTGTATTTATAATTCTGAAAACTGTTATGCTTCCAACCTACCACAACAATTAGGGCAATCTGGATGTAGTAGAGAATTAATTCCATAACCTGGAAAACAGCGATTAATCCACACCATTTGCAGAGTGCCTTCAATGTAGTATATTTCAGGTAGCGGTGCTGTTCTTTTTCCAAGAACTTCAACTTGTTGGCTAAAGAATTTCTCTATTAGGTCTTTTGCCTGAAGTAAAAAGAAATTACTTTCTTGATAAAGATAAAAATCAGCATTTTTTTACTTGCTTCTTTTCTTACTTGTATAAAAAATACAAACTGTATCAATAACATTAAGTGTTTATCCTTGGCTAATGTATTTATTGTAATATACAATGAATAAATACTCTTATACATGAGAGAATGTCTTTGTGATATGCTGGTCCAGAGCACTAAAAACTAAATTTTAAGAAAAAAGATTGAAGGAGTTATGTTTGTTTACCCTTAAGTAAAGATGACTGATGTGTGTGTTTGGAGGGGAGAGAGAAAAGCACTTTTGAAATACTTGAAAAGACATCAAAGAAATTTGTCCTTTCTCATCCTAGAATGCAGGTTGTATAATACTGAATATAAGTTGCAGGATATTTGAAATACAGAGTATTAGAAAAACTTTCTAACTAATGGATTTTTACAATGAAACAAGTGTCTGAAGATTTGGAAGAAGCTAAACAGCCATGCTTTCTGATATTTTAATTTAGGTTCTTACAATGATTAGCAGTTTGGATTAAATGGCCTTAGTGGCCCATTCAAACTTCTTGATTCTCTTACAGGAGTGTGGGTATCAAGATAATAAATGCTTATGATGGTTCAGAGAAATATCTTAACCTTAGCTCCAATTATCAAATCTGATAGATCAAGTTTCTTAGTTTGGCCTAGTATTCAAATAGCTACAGACTTAGGCAAAAGTGAGGATAATTAAATACATCTCTCCAATGAGAAGATGCTGTCAATCTCTCCCAATTTCTCCTTCAATTTCTTTTCTTTCAGAGGGTGGATACATTTTTTTCTAAGAACTAAATGGAAAAAGTATACTGTTCTTGCTTTAGTATTTTTTTTCCTTCTGGTCTCCAAAAAAGATTATCTCCTAAAGTATCTAGAGCGGCGGCCCCCAACCTTTTGAGCACCAGAACAGGTTCCGTGGAGAGAGGTTTTTCTGTCGACTGGAGGGGGCATGGTTTTGCATGCTGCCTGCATCCCACAAATGGGGCTTCCCTTGTTTGTGTGGCCTGATTTCTGGCATGCCAGGATCAGGACTGGAGGTTGTGGACCCCTGGTCTAGAGGGAGATGTGGAAGATTATTTATATAGAATCACAGGACTGGAAAAAACTTTGGAGATCTTCCAGTCCAACACTGTACTCAAGGCAGGATTCTTTATACCATCTTTGATGAATGGATGTCCAATTTTTCTTGAAAGCATCCAGCGATGGAGCACCCAAAACTATGGGATGCAAGCTGTTCCTTTGGTTAATTGCTCTGTCAGGAAATTTCCTTCTTTAATGAGCTTCCATTGCTTCTTGTCCTGCCCTCAGATACTCTGGAGAATAAACTGATCAACTCTTCTTTGTGAAGCCCCTCAAATACTGAAAGACAGCTATCATATCACCCCAATTGTCAGGTCTGCAAGCTTCAACACTTCAGACCATGCTTCAGCTGACATCAAAGGACAGGAGGGAGGGAGGCTATGGAATGTGGATTAGAACGAGTGTAAGAAGGGAAGAAAGGAGCTAGGAGGGAGGGGGAAATTGACAGGAGTGAGAATAATCAGGTGCCTGTATTAATTTGCTCCAGTCTTCAAGGACAACCATCCTGAGAATGAGTGAATGAACTGCCCACCATAAAACAGTGCACAAAACATCTAAATGACTTGCTATTGGACACTGGTCACTGGCTCGAGGGTGAACTAGGAGGGAAGGAAAAATCTATTGCTTTCTGCGCGAATACTTCAGATCTCACCTTACTTGCCTTGCAATCATTCCACTCTAGTAAAAGTACCTATTACTTGAATCAAATGGAGTCTATGGTTATTCTTTCCTAGAGTTAGATTTGGGACAGTTTTGACATTAGGCAGGACCTGCAAAATCGGTCAAGCCGGTTACCATGGGGATCGTGCCCACAATGTCAACTCACGACAGTGAACAGGAGGAGGGAGAAGACTGGGCTGAAGCAGCGGCCAAATCCCAGAGCGGAGGTCATCCCAAGTGGCTTGTGGAACTCAAAGCCTGTGACAAGCCTGTGGTCCCTAGGCATCTGGAAGGAAGAAGATTGGAAGTAGAAGCCTTCTAGGGTCCACTTCCAAAGGGGCAGTTGTGGAAGCCACCGCAAAGAACCCACTGCTATGAGGAAGAGTTCATAGCACTTGACAAGCCTGAGACCAAAGATGTGCTATTTGAACAGGCACTCAATTTCCTTAGAGGAGCATTTGGCAACCTCAAGGCCATTGCCCAGATGGGGCTCTGACATCCTTGCCAGTCACTGCCGCATGGATGATGAATAGCTGCAATCCCCCCCTGTGGCCATACTTCCCCCAGTGGCTACAGCTAAAGCCCCACCAGCTCAACCACAGATTGCCCCGGCCCCAGTGGTTCAGCAGCCTCAAGCCCAGTGGGTTCCTGCACCCAGGAGGAGGAGCAGAACCCCCTGCCCTGGGGGTAAAGTTTGGTGTTGATCCAAAGTAGTTGGCCTTCTTCCTGACGCAAATGTACCTGCAGGAGTATGGGAAGACCTGCCCACCAAAGGAACAAAACTGTAGTTTGTTACCATGGCCCTAGAAGGAGCCGCAGTGGAGTGAATGATGGCTCTGCATAACAATGCTCCAGAGCTGTGCATCTTCAGTCAGTTCATAGTGGCCCTTTGTAAGAGATTGGAAGACCCCCTTTGCTGACCACGAGGCCAGAATTTGCATGAACACCATTAACCAAGGGCAAATATCTGTGGCTGCCTATACCCAAGAGTTTTGCAGCCCAGCCTGCAGGCTGACCGACTTGCTGCAGGACATGCTAATCTAATGTTTCCAGGATGGCTGAATGATGATGTATACAAAACCTGCCTCTCCTGAGGAGCCCCTCGCACGCTGCATGCATGGCATGTCCTCGCTGAGGAGATAAGAGATTAATTTAGCCAAATCCTGAACCCGTGCCAGCCACGGATGGAGAACATCCCTCACCATCGAAAGTGAGACCTAGAAGCTGCAAGCAAAGCCCCCATCAATGTTCCACTGGTTGCTTCAAGTGTGGAAAGGAGGGGCACTGAGCTACTGACTGCTGCATGTCAGTCCAGAAGCTCATGATGGGTCCTGCCAAGAAACAAGGGAAACCAGCCACAAGAACCTGAGAGTTAGCTCTGAAAGGGATAGAGGTCACAAAATTCACCCTTCCTCCCACTGAGGACGTGGGAACTCCAACCAGGATCCAAAGAGCTCAGGTGAGAGCAGACGATGACCCCTTGGTAAGTTGCCTGATACTAATGACTACAAGTAGAGACAGTGGTCCGCTCATCAGCGCACAGGGGAAGTTGGTGCCTTCTGGACTCAGGCTACACCAAGTGCCTGGACAGCCCTGTCAGTGGAAGAAATGGGCTAGCACCTGAGGCAATTTAAAGTACCTGTGGCATTCTGCCAGCTGGATGGGTCAGTGGCCAGTGGAGCCCTTGCCACATTCGTCACTGAACCAATAGAAATGAAGATGGGGGAGCACACAGATACTTGAAGTTTCATTGTGGCACCTGGCATGGAAAAGTCCCTTGTGGTAGGATTAATGTGGCTTCCCAAAGTGGAATCCCTATGTCAGTGATGGCGAACCATTTAGAGACCGAGTGCCCAAACTGCAACCCAAACCCCACTTATTTATCATCGGGTGCCAGGTGAACATAGCCCACTGGGTGGGTGTGGCTGCAGTGGGCATGGCCACCTTGATGTTGCTCGTGGGGAAGAGATGCCTGTGGGGGTCAGGCAAGGTTGGGGGAGATCCAGAGTGTCTCTGGCAAGTGGGACGATCAACAGGAGGTGGGAGAAGGGCACTCTGCAAGGGTTGGGGCGGGGCGGCAAGAGCAGGGCGCTCTGCGAGGGTTGGGTGGGGGGCAGCGAGAGAACGGCGCTCTGCGAGGGTTGGATCAGGGGGGCGAGAGAACGGCACTCTGAGGGTTGGATCGGGGCGGTGAGAGAACGGTGCTCTGCAAGGGTTGGGGTGGGGCAGCGAGAGAATGGCGCTCTGCGAGGGTTGAGGTGGGGCAGCAAGAGAATAGCGCTCTGCGAGGGTTGGATTGGGGCGGCGAGAGAACGGCGCTCTGCGAGGGTTGGATCAGGGTGGTGAGAGAACGACATTCTGCAAGGGTTGGGTCAGGGCAGCAAGAGAACGGCACTCTGTGAGGGTTGGGTCGGGGCGAGAGAATGGCGCTCTGCAAGGGTTGGGTCGAGGTGGCGGCGGCGATGGAGCACTCCATTGGAGGGAAGTAGTGGTTGGTGGTGGGATGCTTCTCACTGCGTTTTTTCCCCTGGACATTTAAACCATTTTTAAAAACACAATTAAAGTTATATGTATCATGGAAAAGCCAACCCATGGCTGGATGGAATACAACGACCTCCTCGAACATGCCATCTTATCGCACGTCAGAGCAAAGCCTTTCCCGCTAACAATAACTAAGACGGGTGTTTCCCATTTTAAAGTAATAACCCACAAAACCCCCACCCTTCCCCCCGAAAACAAGACCTGTGCGCCTCTGAAGCTGACCTTAATCAGAAAGTTGCCCAACCCCCCCCCCTGCCATGACCCAACCCTCGCAGATGAGGGAAACAGTTCAAGGGAAAAGGATGTTTTAAAAATAAACAGGATGAGTGCACCAAAACCAAAGAATAAACTGTGAATTTCTGCCAGAATGACATGCCCATATATGGTAGTATGTCGGATGTTGAGGTAACCTGAGCAGACAAGGACAGAGATAATGTATTCCGGTTAGGCGCTTCTGATAGATTGTGACCTCTGTGTGCCTTTCCAATGGGACCAAAGGGGAAGGGAAATGGGGCATCACAATACGGTGTATAAAAATGAGGGACTTCCGGTGACGAGGCTTCGCCGATGGAGGCTTTTTTCTTAGCCTCCTGCCCGGGACTGCGTCAAAGCTGTCAAAACAGCGCGGATCAGCTGTTTTGCGGCTCGGAACTTTCTCCCCGGGCGAAGGGGAGAAAGTGAGTTTGG